TTTTTTTTTTTTTTTCCGGCTATTATTTTACAGCGGTTATACAATGTCAATTTCTCATTGAAAACTGGCACAGAAGGGGATATTTTAAAGGTCAAAATTTTAGAAGACATTATCTTAAAATGAGGAATTAAAGTGATAATTTACGGTATCCAATAAAAGTAGAGGAAACATTTTGCTTTAGAGGAGAAGATTTGCTTCATGAATCAGAGTTGGGTAACACCGTTATTTTATGAATACATTGTGTCAGTGAGACTAAAGGTGCTCCAGTTTAGCATACTTAAGGGACTAAATATGCTCAGGGTTATATTTGAGGGACCAAAATAGACCTACCCTCAAAGATAAGGGACAATACTGGAAAAAAACTCTTCAATTTTTACTTAAACTACAAAATGTACTTAAACTACAAAATGAAGTAGACTTTATTTCATTTCTTATCTTCTCATGTATTGGTGGATGTTAGCACTGGCCCAAATACACCTGCAGCTCCAGGTCCACTTACAAAAGAAGACCCAAAGGCCTGTAGTGATCATTGGAATTTTATCCTTTGCACATTTAGTCCTTGTATTCTAGGTACTAGGTACTGAATGTATGTATATATAAGTTTAGAATATTGCAGATACAGGGTTGTAATTTCGATTCTATTCATTTTCAATTTCAGATGAAATAAAGCTCTCTCTCTTCCCTATTCTTTAGGGCTCTTCATATATTCCCTTTGTGCGATTGTTGCAATCCCTGAATCTGACAGTGGAACGATTAAACAATTTCAGAAATTGACGCCCATATAGTGAGGGCATAAAATTGTAAAAATTGCACGGGGGCTCGATTTGGTCGCCCCCATTTAACGTATACCTATTTTTTTAAAATGTTTTAACTTGTACCCACTTTTTAAACAACTTCAGCCCCCTTTTTCCTCCTCCTTCTCCCGGTGATCTCCATATCTCTCCGGAACTTAATATTAATGTAACCATCTCTTCCTTCTTTAGCTTTCTCAACCTCAACTACATATTTCTTTTCCTCCATATTACTTTGTTTATCTCAGCAGCTGCAGCAACTCTTTTATACGTATGAATAAAACAAGCACTGATATATATAAAGGATTGATTATTATAGTGGCTAATCTAAATTACTTCACGCAAACTTCCATTTTTTGGTGGCCAAAAGTTTGTCATACGATATCTATATATGACTTTATTTAGTCGATTCCAACAAACCCTCAACAAGGTTTTTGACTATTAGTTTAAGTTAGCAGTACATACTCAAGGGTTTTAAAAACTTCGACAGTTACAAAAACAAAAACTTAGTTATAGAGCTGAAGTTTGCCAGTTACAAAACAAAAACTTCAGCTCTAGAGCTAAAGTTCGCCAGTTACAAAAACAAAAACTTTGCCAGTTTCAAAAACAAAAACTTCAGCTCTAGAGCTGAAATTCGCCAGTTACAAAAGAAAAAAACTTCAGCACACTTGGTTCAGCACACTTGCTACTTCAGGTCTGTCTACTAGAATGCTGATGTTTTGCGTGATTGCCTTTGTTACTTCAGCCCCGTATGCTGAAGTTATGTGAAAAAGCGGGTACACTTACAATTTTTTTGCAAAGCGGGCACAAGTTAAAACGTGACACAAAAAGCAGGTATAGATACAAATGCCCCCATAAAACTTCATATTTGGGTTGTGTGCAATATCTGGGCTTTGATCAATTTATTGGGTCCAAAATAATATTATCATTTTAACCCACGCTCGAAAACTATTTACATTTAGTAGCTGAAAAAGTATATAAAATTTGTATAATCTTTATATAACAACTTTATATAACATGCGGAATATATATGTAAAGTACTAGTAAACACGTGTTACGGTCAATGGATTTAAAAGAATAATAGAGAAATACTGTCAACAAAATAGATGTCTAACTCTTCATATGTTTCTTTGTTAATTTAGGTACCCTATTCGGTCCGAATACGACTATTAAGGTAAGAGTTAAATTATTGTTTTATTTTGGAAAGTTGATCCAAACAGTGAAATGGAGTTGACTCTTCTAGAAAATTTGGGTGTAACAGTAATTTTTTTACATTAAAGTAATTGATAAAAGAGCCGAGAAGTGTATAGAAAACAAATTTCGAGAAGTGGACAAATACTTAAAGACACTACATAAAAGCAAGAAGTGTAAATTCAGAATAGCAGAAATAAAAATACAGTAACCAATTAAAATATTCAGGGAACATATATCTGTTGCTCTTTGATCAGGATTTCAGGACCATACTTATTTGTCTTGCTATTTATTTATTTCGTCTGATTCTGATAGCAGGAGATAAATGAGGTGCAACTATAGAAGTATAAAAAAACGGAATGAAGCTCGGGAATAAAGTGATATTTTTTAAATCAATTTTTATATATCTGAAGTATGAAATAAATTAGAAGTAATTCCTAAGACGAATACAAAGAAAATTATACGACTTTTTAAATTATATTAAATTATATGTATTTCCCTTTTAAAAATGAAAACACTTACTGTATATTATGATAAAGTAAAATATACTTTTTATTTACTGTTTATATCAAATCAATATAAGCGTATCGCGTTTTGGTTGAAAGAATTTTCCCTAAAATATGAAAAAACTCTTTCTTGAAAATTTTGAAACACTATTTTTTGGGTTGAAAACAAAGTCAGGTGAAAAAAGACGAGGAAAAGACAAAACATTGTAAAAGCGTCAAATGATTAAAATGCAATTATGTCGCACTCACGTGGGTTACTCCAGTAAATTTCCTTCGGCCCATAAGTTGGGGCCCCCGGCATGCTGCAATGATATACTGCTGCTCGCCCCATGCTACAACGTATCACGTTCATAAATAGGAAATTTTATTTCCTATAGCAAAGGTATACTGATGTTTGATGATAAATGATGAAAAATACATATTTTTAGTATATTTGCATATTAATTTTTGTGCGTGTCGCGGGAGATTATATGATTTTCGAAGTGAAATATACTCATTATGTGTTTCTTATGTGTAGGAACGAGTTTGGATGCTAAATGATCAAAAGATGACAATTCGACACAAAAAGAAGAAATTAAAGGAGTGGGAGCCCGTCTATTCTCGTGCGTGGCACGAAGTTGGAAACGAAAAAGGAGAAAAGTTAAGGCACAAAACAGCAAAGCGAAGCAAAGGCACGGAGCGCTTCGCGAAATGGAAGAATGATCCGCGTCAAAGTCCGCGTCTAGACGCGAAGGCAGACGCGGATTCCAGCTCTCCCATCCGAAGTTGGATTGAATAATTCCGCCCCTCATCAACCCTAAGTTATATAAATACATCCTAAAACACCACTTTGAAGGGGGGACACACTTTTGACTTAATTTAGAACTAAGGAGGCAGAGGAGGACGTTTTTGAGAGGAAAACACAAGCACAGAGCCGCCGTGGAGGCCGGGTTTCATCTTTTCTTCCACCAACTTAGTCTTTTTATGTTTCTTTGTATGATTTGTTGTTTTGCTACCATGTCTATGTGGAGCTAAACTTCACGTTCTAGGGTTGTGGTTCTTTCATGACTATTGTTATTCAGATATTGATTTTGATTTCTTAGTTTATCATATTGGTTTATTTATTCAATCCTGCACTTAATTATTTGATTACTTGATCACCAATTGAATACTATCTACGAATCTAGAGTTGAACTCGAAAGTGGAAATTCTAGATTGCATATAGGATTGAGTAGAGCAAGTTCTTGAACCTGGGCCTCGGGGAACGGATTAGCAATTGGGATAGACATATACCCAATTGCCTTGCTTGGTTGATTTACAGGAATTATAAATGCGTTCTTGTTGATTCTAACTCCATAGACATATAGGCGTTAGGTTAGCTTGAATAGGCGAGTAAGAACTCGACAGATTCTTATAAGCAATATTAACCCTGTCAACCAATAAACTAGATAAATTAGTTAGTCAATTCAATTGAAGAATACAATAGGAATGTTAGATAGCCCATAACCCTAGATCGTTTTCATTACATTGATATCATAAAAATCTGCTCTTCCTCTGTTTAAAGTTCATTATTTATATTTCTTTATTTAATTAGTATAGAATCAAATACTTCTAGGTTTAAT